GCCCAAGAGTTGACGGTGGGTGGTGATGACTAGCTGCCTTCCCTCTAGTCTTACACTGCTAAATTAGGGACGGCTAGCGCAGATAGCCCTCGTGTAGCTTTGCGCGAAATTTCAAAAAAAACAAAAACAAAACATACTCTGCCCTATCTTTCACATTCGAATTAATTTCATCGGGTTATGTTTCAAGTACATTTAAAAATATTAAACGTATTTTTATTTCTTTTTATCTTACTGAAATAAACTATTCTAAGTAGAACGAAACCATAATCGAGATATTATTCTTATAGCAGATGAATGGATCTAAAAACATAGTAAAATTGCTAGTAAAAAAAATGGCTGAAAAATAACATTCTTATGTTGTTTCAAGGATTGGTTAGGCCAAATTTTATTTACTGTTTTTTCATAAGTCTTTATTGGTAGGATTCGATCTAAAAAGATCGTGGTAGCCAAAGTAAAACTTTGCGCTGCCTCTTACGTCTTAGTGTTGTTAATGTATTTTTTACTTTTTTATTTCATTTATATGGTCTACAACTTCTTCTTTGATACCACGAAACGTATAATTTATCACTTTAAATTTATATTCATACAATTCATTCGTCAAGTTGTAGTGTTCAACAAATTAACCTTTTCTGTTCTCTATCATGGCTTATGACAAAATATCACTTTCACATTGGCTCAATCAAAATGTTGAAAGGTTATCTACAATACATCTTCGAGATGGCAAGGGTTTTCGGCCATCTTTTGTTTAAGTAGCTTTTGGTTTCAACTTGTTAAGGCAAACACATGAGTTAATTTGATGATCTAAAGTTCACGACACTATTTCGGAGGGTTTTTTTTTTAGAATGACAGTCTGAATTAGATCCAAGAATATTAGTACATTTTTTATAGTTTCACATACAAAAATTTAAATTCAAAATATTTAAAATCTTATATCAGCTCACAGTAATTACGCTTACATTTTTCGGTTTTTTTTTTTTTGCGGTTATTCGTTTCTAAATTATATTATCTAAATAAATAGTTTTGTGCGATGCAGAAAACAAATGTAATCCCCTCTCATTTTTTTCCTTTCCATTATTCAGAAAAAATATCTTTATTTAGATATGTCATTTAATACTAGCTTATTGCAGCCCCCCAGTGGCACAGCGGTATGTCTACGGACTTTCAACGCTAGAAACCGGGTTTCGATATCCGTGGTGGGCAGAGCACAGATAGCCCTTGTGTAGCTTTGTGCATAATTAAAACAAACAAGCTTATTGCAGCCTCTTATGTTTACCCATAACATTTCGTTTTGATACTAGCTTATTGCAGCTTCTTATGTTTACCGATAACATTTCGTTTTGATACTAGCTTATTGCAGCTTCTTATGTTTACCCATAGCATTTCGTTTTAATACTAGCTTATTGCAGCCTCTTATGTTTACCCATAACATTTCGTTTTGATACTAGCTTATTGCAGCTTCTTATGTTTACCCATAACATTTCGTTTTAATACTAGCTTATTGCAGCTTCTTATGTTTACCGATAACATTTCGTTTTGATACTAGCTTATTGCAGCCTCTTATGTTTACCCATAACATTTCGTTTTGATACTAGCTTATTGCAGCTTCTTATGTTTACCCATAACATTTCGTTTTAATACTAGCTTATTGCAGCTTCTTATGTTTACCGATAACATTT